ATGAAAAAAAGTAAGAAAAAAAAAATTTAAGAAGAAAAAAAAAAGAAAAAAAAAAGAAGAAGAAGAAGAAGAAAAAGGCTGCACAACATCAAAAGCTGTACGACATCGAAAACATAATTAAAAAAGAAGGGAAGGGTTTCCAATGGTTCTAGTGTACTACGGTTCCGACTCCATAATGCTCAATGGCCCGAACGAACGAACGTCGAGTGTCTGGGGCGCCAACATGAACGCACGACATACTATGTAGTGTACTTGACCAGCAGGAGCAGGAACATGGCGATGACGACCTTTTTTCTTTTCTTCCCTCAGCTGCTTCTCTGCTTGCTTGATTCCCTGCTTCCTTGCTTCTTAACAGATTGACAGATTAATCCGCATTCTTTGACAGTCACAGAAACACGGGGAGGCAGGCGCATGCGATTCACTTGTCGACTCGGCATGGCAGCAGCAGCAACAGCAACGGCAAACAGGAATGAATGGACGCAGCGTTCGAGAATGTAATGTAATGTAAATGCAAAACTGAGTGCAGAGTCAGGTAAGTAAGTACGCAGATATCTACGACGCACATATATGTACAAGAAAGCAACTTGAAGCATGGTAAATAAAGGTATGTACACGAGCGGGCGGCAGATATGTGCAGAGGGGAAGAATTGGATGGAAGCTAAGAAGATCATGATGAGTGATTGATGGACGACTTCATTTTTAGCTTCCCCTTCACCTTCACATGTCCTACACTAGGTATGGACGGGGAAGCAAGAAACGTTTAGCTACTAAACGTCTGTCTGGTTTTGACCGTGGGATACCTATGATATTGTGCACTGCATTGTAATGGAGAGAGTTATCGTTGGTAAGGGTTGATTGCAGAAAAGGTAAAGTAGGAAATAGGAAAGGAGACGACAAAGAAGGCTAAAAGAGAAAAAGAGAAAAAAGAATCATCTTGCCTCTCTCACCCTTCCTTATGACACTCACATTAAGTTAGCTAATTCATCATGTTTGACCCTCAAGCGACGTTGTCAGATTGTATCGCCGCTCGTCTTTTCCCCCAGAGTCTGTTGTTTAGTAAACTCAGCAGACTGCCCCGTTTCAAGGAGACGAGCGGGATAATTGTGTTTATTTGGCGTGATGAAATTTGAGTTTGAGAGTTACGATCTCGAGATGGAGATGGACGCGAATAATGGAGATGGAGACACCTTGATGTTTGTTTCACAAAGGTGAACAAAGGTAGATGGTGGTTGAGTTCCCTTCTATTTCCTCCCTCTTCATCTTCGCATTAGCAGTTCCTGTAATGGAATTGAAATGGAGAGAGGTCTAGTGCTAAAGAAGTAGTAGACTAGGTAGCTAGCTAGCTACATACATAACTCAACCGATTTTCTTGCAACTTGCCCGCGAGTTGCTTTTCTGTCTCTGTGACTCTCTCTATTGCTCCGTGGCTGCGAGGTAAGGACTGATTGACCCTTCATGGGTACTTACTTGTTGAGTAAGCTGTGTTTTCAAAAGAGTGTGGTGTTTGTTTCCAAAAGCTTCATGTCATCCTTCAAACCTAGAGGTAAATTTCCGTTTCTTAAAGATATCCTTCCAAGGAAGATCTGTAAGTCCTGTCGAGATGTACTCCCTCGTCCAGCGAGGAATGTCCTCTCCGAATAGAGCCAAGTTATAACTCAGCTTTACCGGCCCTAGCGGGGCCCGTCTGTGACCGTAGATGCCGTATCTGGCACAAGCTCCTTGAGGTGGCTTTCCCAGTCAGGCCTGGGAGGAGCCACTACAGGCGTTTCTCGGATGCTGTTAAATAGCTTGTTAACTATCGTCATATCGTTCTCCCCTTTGTACAACGGCTTGTACACCTCCCTATTTGGATCCTTTTCTTCTTGATCTATCTGTCCTTCTGCATCTAAATGGGCTGTGTACAAGGCTTGCACGTCGTCCCCCCGTCCGAAATTGAATCTTTCGACTTCGTAAAGCTGATGAGCGATCTTCAAGAGCAGTCGTTCGTACTGCTCCTTGATATCATCTTCGGTTCGTTTCTGGGGCGTTGTGATAAGTTAGATTCGGTCATCTTGCTCCAACAAAAGAAGGATAGGTAATGAGTGAACAAGACGTGTGCTACTCACCTCGTCAGGAATGACTCTGCTGGGCCGACGCTGCTTGCCGTCATCACTTGACGAGTCCGAGCAGTTCTCGCTTGGCCGGTCCGGGTCATCCTTCCATGACAAGCTCGTGAGATCAGGGACTGCGAACGGCGTCTTAGTTGACCAATTGGGATGCTCGGTGCCACTATGCACTAGGTAACGTCAAACAAAAACTGTTAGCGTCTCTCCTTTCTCTCCTTGAATTTGGCTAGGGCATTATTACATTGCGTAGTAGCATCGTAAAGCTTGTTTAACAATCTCAAAAGCTCCCTTTCTTGTCCATCCTGCGCTTCATGTCGTACAGTTGGCCGGCCGCCCCAAGTCTGTATGTCCTAGCCCACATCTCAAATCTATCCGACAAGCGTTTGCACTCTTCCCCTTCGTCTTTCCACTTAGGGTTTTCCATGTCGGTACTGCTTAAGGGATCATCGAAGAAGAAGTTGAGAAGAGAGAATCGAGTGCTAATTTGCCTGTAGAGCTTCTCAAGATCTGTTCTTATGCTCTGGTCCCTAGAGATCGACATATTGGATGTTGATTTGATGATGGTTGCTACTTCGAAAAGTTATATTTTGTTGGTCTAGGGTCCAGGAGCGCCGTGCTATGGTGCTTGGTGCTGCCGGCCATTTTTCCATTCTGTCGGTGATGATGGCAACATTTTATACTCGAATGTCTTGATTGTCCACTAGTATCTCTGTTAAGCTTCTCATACACCCAGAGAAGAGATATTACCAACCAAGCGCTGTTGACATTCATTGCTCCCAACATCTACCATCGATCAAGTTGGATCTCGCAATATCGTGGGCATCTTGTACAAGCCTCCTTGTGACGATGGAAAAGGTAGAAAAAGAGAATACTCTGCACGTGTCAGCGCTGTTGAGAGACTCTTGGGTTTGGAGTTGGATCAAAATTTCCAACAGACACTCATCTTCCTTTCACTTGTCGCCAACATCACCTATCTCAAAAGCGGGTTCTAGCCGCGAGTCTGGTGCACCTAAGTAGAAAAAAGTTGGCAGTTGCGAGTTGGCAACGAGCAGTTTTCTGCCACCCACATCACGTACATCTCCCAGAGCAATTCCCAAAGAGAAGTATGCTCCCAACCAGCTGGACATTGAGTAGACATCCTTCAACCAAATTAACGCAGAGATCAATTGTCCCCGTAACAGATGGAATAGAATCACCTGCAATGATTTTCTTTCTTTCAGTAACGGTAACCAGGGTCAAGATCGGTTAGTCTCCCCAAAACGTCAAAGTGTTCGACTTCACAGCCGTGTGCCGTTGGTGGCGTTCACCATTGTGACTTGTGGCTAGAGTTGGCGGCTCAAGAGCAGCAGGGATCCAACCACCCGCCCCTATAACGGAAGCGTCTATAAAGGATGAGCGGTGTTGTAGTGGCCAAACACGGGAAATAGGCGATAGCGCGGGTACATGTTCCGCCCGACTGGCCCCCCCTTTGGAAAATTTGCAGTATAAGCGCCTGGAAAATTGGTGATGAAGAGGCTCAAAGCATCAGATCGAATGTGTCTTTGGAAAAGGAACCAGGAAAGCTGGCTGTGAGCAGATGTATATCCCGAGAGTCCAAGGTCATGCTGGAGGAATATATTGCCTTGACTTGAATGACATCGATGGATCAAGCCCCCCCCCCCCCCCACCACCATTTTTGTTGGGCATTTTATCAGACAAGACATTTGCTCCTTCCCTGCCCAAATTTTGTGAGGCCAACTCCAGAAGGAAGACAAGGAGGTTGCTCATACCGGCATTGACAGTCTGTTTTGATGGGGAAAGAACCACTGACGGGTAAGCTGAAGGACCTGATACAACTCATTTGCCAGTGAGTAAACAGATCTCAGGAAAAGAATGAACAAGACCATAAATCGCGTCACTCTAGCCCATCCCGTGTGTGCTTGAGTCAGCGCTTTCCTGATGAAGTGAACTTTTGATCAATGAACGCGTGACCTTCCAGGCTGTTTTGTATCAACGGCGCTTATGACCCGTGGAGATGAAGATACGGTATTTCGTTCCGTTTGGGATCAGTAGGTCGGATATGTTTTTCGTTTGACTAAACTTCAGTTCATCTACATCCCTTGATCGACTTGTCAACCAACGGTTTAAAAGGTTTTCAAATGCGAACATGATTGTTGGCGATCAGGGTTTTCTTTGCCTAAGGGTGCGACTCGCCTCCGAGATAGCTTGCCAACTCCACCGTTGGCCATAAGCCACACCGGACGCTGTCGATTTTAGCGCACGAGCAATATGTCGGATGTCCCTGTATCGAACTCGAGGAATCACGAGGGATTGACTTGGAATTTGTTGGTGAACAGAGCTTGACTTCACGATCAGGTGGATGCCTCGATGTGTGCCTCTGCCCACCACCTATGTTTTAGAAGGTCCAACATCTACTTCGTCATCGAACGGGTCGTTGGATATGAAAGAGATTTTGGTGATGGTGGGAGAGCCTGTGGTTGACTGAAAGGATCATGGGGCAAAGCATCAGATGCGTTTTGGAGCAAGGTTTCCGAAGTTAACTGGCAGTGAATCCTCTCCCCCAACGGCGAGCTTGGTATCTCACGAATCGCATGTTCTTCTTTCATATATTGAAATAACCTCGCAACAGCTTCAACGTCTTCTCCTTGCTCTTGGCACCGCATCAGGACCTGTCTCTTGTCAGATTCCTGGAATAAAAGATGAGCCTAATACCCTGGGGATCCTGCAACGTCTTCACGGGCTCGAAATTGGCTGGATATGTGTCTTGTACCATTCTGATAATGCATCGAAATAGGGGATGTCGCCATGGACTCCGTAGCTCGACATTGGCAATGACCGTCAGTACAATAAGGGACTTCCCTTGTGGTTCATCACACGAAATGGTACCCGCCAAAGCATCCGACAGGATCTCCTGCCAGGAGAGTTGTTTGTGCACAAGAACATGGGCGTTCCGCGCAGCAGAGTAGCACGCAGGTCGACGGGATGAACCTGTTTAGAGAAGCAGTCGAGGATCATAAAGTTTTGCGTTTTCATTTTCATCTTGGTTTTCTTAGGTAGGAGTATCACTGAGAGGATCAGACTTATGGGATAGAATTTAAGGCATCAACCAGAAAGGGAAGTGGTGAGACTAAAGCGTAGAATATACTCATTGTAAAATACTGTCAGACCCTCGTTAGGAAAGATGACAAACGACTTGCGAGCGAGTCGTGAAAATCGGTCGAGTTTGCACTTGTTTAGGGCTTTTCACCGCCCTTATTAGGTTGGGGTTTGGTGCTCAATTGAATGTTTCATGAGTTCCGCATGTCAACGTGATGAGGGCTAGAATACACCCAAAAAGGAAGGATTACCCGGCGCCGTGTAAGGACACGGAGCCGGAGCCGGAGCATGACCGGAATGGATAGGTATGTAACCGGAGGTCGTCGTCGGGGTTGGTGGACGGAGCGGACGGACCGAGTGGGGGTATTCCAAATATTACATAGTACCTACGCCAAGTGGGATCAGTGGGTGCCTCTGGAGCAGGGGCGGGGATCCAGCCACTGACCGACCATCAAGATTGAGTGGATTTGAGCAAGTTTATGCAGGTCTCCCATGCTAGCGCCGCCAAATGTACAGGTACTTGCCATAGCCGCAGCACTATCCGATTGCTTCCTTGTGAACAATGAGCGCTGGCGATCTCGAGATGCCCATTACGATTACTGGTGATCATCTCTAGGGACTTGTCATCCTGTTGATCGTGACGATTCCTACGCCCCGTCCATGCTCCCAAAAACAAAAGAAAAATAAAACATACAACCGTACACCAATAAAATGCTGATCAAAACCTAAACTCCCATGCCCAGAAAATCCCAGATTTTGTACCCACAGGCCATGCATGCTAGTGACCGAAGTATGTCGCATAGCGGCCGCAAATAAGACTGCCGATGAATACTCCGCCGAGCACCGAGATGAAGTATCCGACATTCATGGTCATGACCGCCAACATACTAGACACGCCATATCAGTAAAGTGTAAGACGTGGAGGATTTGACCAAAACTCACAGAAGATATCCGACACCCGCAATGACCGTATCAAGCACCGCACGGATTGGATCCACGCTTAACCTGAACGGGCGCCCTTCCGCTCCATGCTTCTGAACGACCATGACGTTCTCCTCGACGCCGCTGCTGCTCAGCACCATGGGCTTCGCCAGTGAATCATTGCTAACCCTTTCGGCCAGCGTTCCTCGTCCGGCAACAACGACGTAGCGGCGCTTCATCTCGGCATCGATCCATCTGTACTCCAGCCAGTTGCGTAGGGCTAATAGACCTCGGAGGATGGCGGAGAAGACGATGAGGAAGATGCACGTGCCTGCGTAGGCACCGGTTGAATGGGGCGTCCATGCTGCCGAGAAAAGGGATGTGGTCATCGAGTTCTGGAAGACAGCCATCATGTTGTGTCCGCTGGCGCCGGAACTCGTGCCGGAGCCCATGTCCATGCCCATATCCATATCCATATCCATATCGTGTGAGTGGCTGATGTTGGTGAGTTTAGATATTGACGTCTTTTGTCGTCGTCGTTGAAATGGTGTTCGGCACAACCGGCGGTGGGGATTTTGCAGTGGGAAGACGAGTGTGAGACAGCTCTGATTCTTGTCTGGCTTCGATCGCGTCTTTCCCTGGTTGGAGTAAAACAATTGAACGAGTTACGAAAAGGAGAAGAAGAGGCTGCTCAGAGTTCGAAAGACTGGAGCAGTCGCCCCTTTTGCACGATTTGAGACTTCGTGCTTCATCCGGATTTGTGTCAGAGAAACATGCTCACCTTGAGCGGCACGTTGGAGGAGTGGAAGTGGAGTGTAACCCTGCCACGGCTTGGTCGCTTCCATGTCTTTGCAGTTTCTGTACTAGCAGATATACACCCAGCATCCCGGGTAAATCAGTTAGTGGCTGCTAGCAAGGACTACCTGAGTACTCAAAGCCAAGAAAAAGCGGAATCCGCCGCAAAGGTACAGGTACTCGATGGAGAGTAAATCCCGAACACTTGTACGCACAGGCCGGCCCATTGATTTGAGTTGCTCTTTCTGTGCCTGTTTGAGGTGCATCTGCGTGTTATCCGTGACATCAAACATCCGACTTCTGCTTGACAACAAATCCAGCACTCTTTGGCCATTATAGATCGAATTCTTCCCGAAAGACCAGCTACAGTACCGCAAAGTACAGCAGTACGATCTGTACCGATACCTTCCTTTGTACTCACTGCTCAAAGAGAGTTGACGAGGGAGAGAAAATGCGATCGCGTCACTCGGACCAGAATCTCAAAAAGGGAAGGAACGAAGAAACGAACGAAGGAAAGAAAGATGGAGTTGGTGGATCAAAGAGTCAATTATTCAGGGAAAGGCACCATGAATGATAGTCACGGAGGGCAAATTTTTACGGGCGGGGTGACGACATCTTCCCATTCTTATGGCTCGACCACTTCTCGGAAGAGGTAGTTTGCTTCCATCAACCAACCTTCAACATCACGGCCGCCAATCCATGCCGCCCCAGTTCCTCCACGTCGACCCAAATGACAACACGCCCGAAACGATGCGCCCAAACTGTGCCCTTCCGACTGCTCGCCATGTCAAAACATTGGAATCTTCACGTACTTGGTCGTCTTTCGGGCTTGCAACCGCTGCAGGTACCGCACCGTGGGGCGTTCCAGCAAAAGTGCCATGATGCTCTTGCATTTACCCTTTGGGGGTCTGATCTGTCCCGCTCCCATTACATACTCCCTGCGACACGCGCTTGTCGAGCTGGTGATCTGCACTCTTCAACCCTTCTCTGGCAAGGTCGCCCGAATGGTCGCCGACTACCTAGCCTAACAACTACATATGTATGTAGTATGTACAAGGCAACATTAGGCAAATTAGCCCTTCGATATCGGTGCGTACCTAGTACTATGGATATGACTATCACATCGCTGACGACCAGTTGGCAGGAGATACGGGACTAGACGTGGCAAGGTCAGACAATTGAAATGCGACCGCCAATGCATTAAAGCCAACCTGACGTCCCACTGGGACGGATCATAGCCGCGAGACGCCAGCAACAGAGTCTAATTCAACGTCAGGCAAACCCAGCCTCCGCAACCGCCCGTGTTGAGCTAGCGACATCCCGACGGGACCTCCTTCGTACTCTCTCGCCCCTGCTCTCCTTGTTGTCCAGCCGAACAGCATTGACACTCACACCAAAGTTGAAGATCCTTACACTGACCCTCCGTTAAGATACCACAGCCGGCTGCCGTTGCACAGCTTAGCTGGCCAGAGCTTCTCCAGGACATCCGGCCTCCATGTGTTACCTTTGCTACCGACATCACCACTGCCAGCGAATCTTATTTCCTCTCGATGCAGCCAGCCGAGATCCATCACAACTGCGCGCTCACATCGTGCTTGGTCATGGCTTACTAGGCTGCTGCTCTCCCTGTTCAAGACGCGGGGCTCCGGGAGCAATGGCCAAACCTGTAGCACTCATCAGAGCCAAATCCTGGGACAAAGTTTCTCGGAGATATTGCATTTCCGCTCGCCGGGGAGCCAAAGCCAGGCCAGCCTGTGCGACCATTCACAACTTCGTTAGTCATCAAACCGCACTTCATACTTGAGTCCGATGTCAGAGTTGCGGGCTTTCACTCCAGCTACAGAACTTGGGCAAGTGCTTTTTCCTTGCGTCTTGCCGTTCACAAAATGCGCACATCTCCAATGAATGATCTCTTATCTTGATCACCGACCAACGGACGTGGTATCAGCAAACCTATGGGAGTGTCTTCGAGACATCGGCATAAACAAGCCACAATAACGGGAGGGCGTTATGCGGCGGTTATAAACACTCAGATTTGGATATGCTCTTGTCAAAGCCACAGCATGGGGAGAACCGCTAAGTCGCCTATGGCCCCGCCATGTCAGGAAGCCACCCACCATATCCAGATGAGCTTGCGCGCCGAAGACGGCGGCTGGTCGAGAAAGGTTGGCAAATGGAAGAGGAAGGCCCAAAGGCGGGCGATGAACGAAAGAATGGGGGGTTGCATCACATCTACTCTCACCGAAACTCGCTCGCAAACGGACACAAGTCCGTCCAAGGCACCGTTAGCTGTCCTCGTCTCCTGCTCCGGATAGCCTTGGTAAGACATGACAACCATAATCACGACATTTCCTGCTTACCATACCCCCACATACCACGCATATTCGAGATGGGACGTTAGCATCTCACTTCATTCATCCCGAAGGCCCATGGGGGGACATTCAGTTTGCATTGGCAGCATGGAGGCTTCACAAATCTGCAAGCCCGCCGTTTCAACAATCTTCAGCGGCGGTTAGATGGCTGGTCGGCCTCCTCAGCCCATCTGCAAGCCCTCATTGCGTAAAATAAGCAGTCATGGATGCACTGAGCCTTCGTGCCAATGGTTTTGGCTCTTTTTCCACACTCGAAGGGCAATACTTGGGATCGGACGCAAGTCCAGTCATCGGACGATATATCTTCTCCTTCGGGTAGCGGCCTTCACATGAACACAGGGGCATGTCGAGGGCCGAAGCGAAAATCAGACATGCGAACTCGAGACGCTCGAGAGCGGCGGAAGTGACTACAAAGAGGGGAAGGGGAGCAAATTGTCGCAATGTGCGACCTCTAGACACGCCGTGCGAAGGAGGTTGACGAACGAGCTGCCATGTGCATTGGTCAGCCTAATCACCAATAGGCCTGCTGACGGGGGTGTGAGAGTAGCAGCTTCCATCAAGTGGTGGTGACGGAGAGAAGAAGATCGATTTATTGCATTCACCCCGTTGTGGACTTTCTGAATTCTTTTGGGCCATGAAACGATGGCCGTGGCCACCCGCGTGCCTCACCTGAACATTGACAATGACCCGCCGGACACCCACACTTTTGTCGATGTTTGGACTGAGAACGGCTGCTATCACTTCCTGTTCTGGGCGGGCTGAAATGCAAGTCGCAGAGCGCCACGGCTTGCCGCCCTCCACCGCGAACCAAATTCCTGAACCCTGCTGACGGGCATTGCTGCCCCGGGCCAAGCCATGACCTTTCATCCCCTCTATTTGGATTCTGCTTGCTACTGGCCAAGTACTGCGAGCGGTTCGGAGTCCTCCCCAACAGCCTGCATTTCCACCGTGGGGAGAAGGACTGTAGGTGTCGGAACTTCTGTCCGTCATATCAAGACATACCGTGCTCTTGTATGGCAAGAGTCTTTCCAAAACCATCTAACCGAGGGTTGTTGGGTGACACAATCTTGGTGCCATCATAAGCTGTCTTCCTTTTCTTTTGGCGATTTCGTACACACCCCATACCGGGAGTGGCCTCAGCCGATCAATAAACGGGACAACTTCCCTGCTTCGTGCTCACCTCCCGTCGTCTTGGTGCAATATCGTGGAGTGTCGCTGAGCCTCAGGGATCACAAATCCATTGATTCGCTTCAGCCGCAGTGTTAGCATTGACCCTTCGAGTTCTGACGAGTGTCTTGTCCGACAGTGTGATTACCTGAGGTAGTCATCAAGACGTGCAGAAGCTGGGCCTGTCTGCCATAAGATCACACCGGCATTCGAAGAGGTTACACTAACAGGGAAACAACTGTCAAGAACTTGACTGGAGCCTTGTCAAGGCTGACTAACTTACCTCGTGTGATCGTGGTTAGGCGCTGCTGTATGTCTGCTATGGACGGACGAAACCCCCATTCCATAACAGAACTCAACGTATGCAAGTACGCAACCAATTTTGAGTTTCTATTGATTTCTGCAGGGATCATGAATGGGTGTTTGTTGATGCGTCATGTACTTCTGCGCATACACAGTACCTACGACGGGATATCTCCATGACCATTCACAACGTTCCGACAATTGGTCCTTCTAGCCCGTTCAAGCGTCACCGGGTCTTCAAACCGCGGGGAGGTCATCTTCCTGCAGCATCTTTGTGGGGGATGGATGGTAAGAAGATTTGGCCAAGGTGCGAAAATGAGGAGACTGATTGGTCTTACCCCCTCGGACTGCCAGCTTCACTTCCCCTTGTTCAGATCAGCCCATCCATGTCACCTTGCGACTGGTTTGGTAAGGATAGCTATAGCCTGAGCTAATCCCTTGCTCTTAACTTCAAGGCATAGAAGCTTTGATTACAAAATTCACATATCCCAAGTGAATATCTCTATCTATCCATTGTTTTCGTCGTGTAGGGATGCTACTTAATTGCTTATCGGGCAGCGAAGACAAAGTAGCATGAGCTTGGGATGTGGAAATCCACAGGACTGGTCGCTCTCCTTTCCTGTTGTTAGATTCCCAATAGGTCAAGGAAACAATCTTGGGTGGGTGGTACAAAAATCGAGATGCTCGGTCTTTAGCACTCGGCTATCGACTGTGGAACTAGACTGCGTTCGGAACCGGCGGTCTAGTGATCTTTGGAGATACTCCAGACATAGACACTGACCGGTTGTGAGTCTCCGTGTTTGGTAAATATGTGATAGGGCTTCTTAGAATGAACGGCTCTGAGCATAGATCACCGGATCGAGGATGTACTCAAGAAGAAGTCCGAGACACTACCACAGAACGGTCACCATAAAGTCACAATGTATCGCTCTTGATGATGTCCGAATTCTCGATCCTCTATTGTCACTTCTCTCTTGTTCTCCACTGTTCCTCTATCTAGTGATGGTGATGGTGTTATATCACCATGTCGTCTCACCATGAAGTAGGGGTAGGGCAGCCTCTTCGTTCTGGACCAAGGCTAGAGCGAAACACTTCCCGGCTACAACGTCGGAGAAACTCGGGCACATCTTTATAAGCTCAATCCCGTGTATTGCGTGGAACTTGCACTTTGCGACTATACTTCTCGTCTCAACCGTTTGTCCAGCATTTTTCATTAGGCTGAGACCTAAAAGGATATGAATGTCCAGAACATAATACCGAGAAGCTCACAGAACTTGATATGTCCCCAACACATGTATGAAACACTCGCCTAGTAACAGTCAAAAGGCGAAAGGGCAACAAAAGCTACATACAACCGCCAAAGACCCCGTTTGGCGTGACGAACGCAAGGGAATTGAGAGAAGGATAGGTACCTATGTGTGTGGCGGACACGCTGCTAACGGACGATGGGTCTAGATTTAATGGATGCATAACTGCAGTCAGGTAGCTGTTCCCACCACTACATAGGTAGCTAGCTGTTGTTCATATGTTGGTCTAACGTTTCATTGCTCTTTCCTCCGTCGTTCAGCTTTGCTCCGGAAGACTACCTATGTTTGGTTTGAGGGAAAATCATTTAGAGTGCAGCTAGCTTCGTACTTGTACCATTCAAGGGTGACGGACGAAGTCTTTGGTAATTGATAATAAAAGTTCTTTTTTTGCGAGGAGTTCGTTGGTTTGTAGACTGTGTATGTTGGAACGATGATAGAAACGGTCTGTCGGATGGTGTAAGTAGAAGCGGCAAGTGGAAGCGGCAAGTGGTAAGTGGTAAGTGGTAAATGGTAGAGGTAAGTGGCTAGCTGAACAGTAAACACTAACGACTACTTTCTTGCCCGTTTTCTTTTTTGCTTAGGTACTCACTTGTCTCAAGGTCTTCCTCGATATCATTCTTTTCAATGAAACTAACGATAGTGATTAACCTTAAATCCTATCATACATTTAAATTTAAAGAAATCTGAAGTGTCTCTGACAGCTACTATGTAATCTAGACGACTCGGTCAGGACTTCCAGGGGGAAAGCCAAATAGGTCAGATAATATCTAATTCAAGAACCAAGAAGACCAAGAGGACCAGATCCATAACTCAATAAAAAGGAAGAGAGGACCAGATCAATCTCGCAGTTACCTACCTATATGTGCTCATATGAAACTAAAGGATCCCCTCTAGACCCGAAACCCATCGACATCCTGGAATATGAAAGACCGGACGGCATGGCGGCCGCCGAGCAGCGAGGTCCTACCTATCGCCACAGCGGAGGGAACTGAGCTTGATCCAGTAAGCAACGACTCAATCTTAAGGTCTAATAGGCGCTATTTTGAAGAGTGCTATGTATCGAGTGCGGCTGTGGCTTTATACTAGCATAGCTGTGTGTGCCATCTCACTCGAGAGGACTCGCTTGAGACTGGGCGCTAGATGCTCTGCTTAAGTGCTAGTGAAGAGTCTTATGCTTGTGTACTTGCTGCTGGGACTAAACCTGGTGATCTGTAGGCAGTAGTAGTGATGGTAATTTGGTTCAAGCAGTAGGATGATACTAGCCTGCTCTATTCTTTCTATCATTTGTCGGCCCTCTCGAGCGTCACTAGCCAGCTATTCAGCTCAGTCTGATGTACTGGGAGTGGTACTCCAGGGCTTCAGCCATGATTTCAGGCCTTTCCTGCTCAAGTGATCGAGTACCTACCATCCACCGTGTAGAAGATATAGATGGAGACTCAAGTACTTATGTTGAGTTGCCACTCCTCTAATGCAATCTAACTCTCTCATATGTGTAAACTGCAAATGAAAACGTGGTTGTCTCGTGGTACGGTATCGAATTGGTAGAGCACGTGTATTTCCTCTCGCCTACATGACTAGCTGTTTGTGGAGTGAAGTACGTCCCTTGCTTGATCTCTTCCTATTGGACTAAGACGACGAAAAGGTTGCTGATTCTGGTAGGAGAAGGAACGGGGAAGAAAGGAAGCCAGCAAGGCAGCCTAGATATCCAGGACGGGAGTGCCAGTGAATGGAAACACAGTAAATGGGCGCCAAGAGCACGGCCGGCCAACACTTTCTCCCTCTGTTTTAAGGAAGGAAGAGTCCTTTCAGCTTGTTTCAGCTTATTCGACGACGCTAGTGTGTAAAGCTAGCTAACTGACTAGCTACATAACCGGCTACTTCTGGGTAGGCAGTTTTGTGATTGGGCAAGAGTTAGTACCTAGCTTTTGAAAAAATCCTCGATTTTCCCCTCTCACGCTGAAGAGGGAGGGCCTAGATGAAGAATGAGTGGTAGTAGACAGTTGATGAGTGTTGATGCAGTACTTTAGTGACTCGTGGTCTCTTTATAGTTTTGGGTGCTGAACAGGAGGGCATGCATGTCAGGTAAGTATTCTGGATAGGTACCTACTCAGCCGTATCCATCCACCAGCTTTCTAACTTAGAAGGCGCACACTCCGCAACCGTAAACGCGGTAGGCCCAACTTCGAACTACTAGCTCTACGAGCATTTATCCGGTGGTTTGTCAAGTGTAAAACAGTAGGGTATATAAAATTCGATCACCGTTCCCAAAGAGTTGGGTCGGTGTTACTTATACAGATACACACAAAAACGCATTCGCTGTCAAGTCAACCTCCCGTTCGTACCGCCCACCACCCCCCGTTCTTTACTCCCATTGCAAAGTCTTGTCCTCAGCAATGTCCCTTTGAGAAGCCACTGTGGTGTAAAACTCATCTTACTCCGTTAGAAAAGAAAAAAAATATCGAAAAAAAAAGGAAGAGAACAAGACAAAAACGCAATGCAAAACAGACTTTAAGAAGCCGTTATGTGGTGATGAAGCTGCCAGTTCATCTGCATCTCTTTGGTAGAACCACCACAGTCCGTTTCCTCCTCTTTATTGATGCGTGAAAAACCAATCCTCCAGAAAAAAATCAAAGCCTGCACGAAAAGCCATCAAACAAGAAGGTTATGGAAAAAAAAGCGTAGCCGTCCAAGCGCCCGATTTATCCCCTCCATAGCCGAATAAAAAAATGTACCGCCATTGTATCCAAATTCCGCTTCGTTCGCTAGTATTGATCCGTAAAAGAGCACATATGGGAAGAAAAGGCGTAAATGAAAGCAGACACGAGGTAAAAACTGAACACAGTTCGAAGTGGTCGTTTTTCTCACGAAGCCAATCGCGCCACTGCTCCGTCACCACTCGCATTTTCGTCGATGCGTTCCATGGGCGAAGTCCTGGAGCCTACCGAGTAATCACCCGGTGGCCGTGTGTTATTGTCCCCCGCCGTTCCCGGCTTGGTGTTGTTTCCGTTGACCTGATCGTTCTTTCCGCAACCCTTGACTAGTCTGTGACGCTGGACGTGACGCAAAGGGAACGTTAGCATTTCGCTCGTCGTTAATCGCAGGGGAATTAGGCAGCCTACCTTCAGCGCATCCTTCCTCGAGAAAGACTTCTCACAGTTGCCACAAGGATATGGCTTCGTAGCCAAATGTATCCTCTTGTGGCGCTTCAAGTCATGATTCCTGTTGAAGCCCTGCGTGCACTGATCACACTTGTATGGTCGGTCCCCTTGACGAGGTCCCAATTGGTCGTGGCCAGCTCCATACCGATGGTACTGAGGCATCGGATGGTGGGTGCCATAATGCATGCCTGACATACCCACCATGGCCAACGGTGTGCCGGGCTGGTGCATGTTGCTCAGCACGGGACCGTGTCCATGCCCGTTAAGCGAGTAGTGATGCTGAGACTGGAGAGAATATTGCTGAGGTCTGCTGCCCGTCACGTACTGTAGCCCGGATCCGCTGCTGCCGCTGCTCGATATCGATCCCAATGCGCGTGGCGCATTTCCTTGCGATGTTGAAGGTGAGTAACTTGTCGGGGATAACTGCGATGTTGGTACCCCTTGAAAACCAGGATATGAGCCCTGTTGTGGTGTCGATGGTGATGGGTAGTAACTACTTTGGGTCGAGCTTTGTGATTGTTGGGTCGCAGATGGGTAGTAGCTGTTCTGGGATGAAGATGTCCTGAAGTTGCCAAAGTCATGTAGGGAGGGCAACGAAGAGCCGTGTCCCGCCGTTGGCGGTTGCGTTACCGCCGGGTTCTGTGAGCTCAGCATTGGGTGGGTAGGACCTGACGCTTGTGAAGGGTGCGATGATCCCAGAGGTCCTCCCGATGATCCTACTGATGTCGGAAACGAATGCTGTTCCTGGTAAGACGATGAGACCGGTACGGTTTCCGCGTTGGTTGACGTAGAGGTGGTACGGCCCCCTGAATAGTTCGTCACAGATGACGGAACTGAGCCAAAGGTGGCTTGTGGTCGGTGAGTATAAGAGGTCTGATTGAGCGATCCCGACCCAGGGTTGGAATCTGGACTCAAGTATGTGTACGCGGATGGCGCTGAGCTTCCCGGTGTTGGCCACGATCCTGTGAGTTGACTTGAATAGTAAATGGATGACCCGGGCTGCTGAGAGGATTGCGACCCGCTGTTGTTAATGCCCGATGATAGATTGAGGCCTTCAGTTGCTATTTCTGATCCTGAGGTGGTTGTCAGATTACATTTGTTCGTGGTGGAGGTTGTGCTGGTTGTAGTCTGACTAATGGTGGAGGGCTGAGGAATGGAATGGGTAAGAGGGGGGGGATAAGGGGAGGGCGAAGTGAGACCTGCTGCCTTGAGAGCAGTGGTAGTCCACCGCTGCCGGTTGTGATCCTCAAAAGCACTGTCACTCGGGCTGTTCAGAACGGGAAAAGCACGATGAGGGTTTCGCGTACTTGGTATATCTAGAGCAGGGAGAGTAAAAGGTGGTAGACTCGTGGTCACCTTTCTCGATCTGGAGGAGAAACTCTCAGGATGTGCTAGGGTCGCCTGATGATCGGTCATGATACCCACACGCGCGCTTCGGTTCGTCTTGATTTGCGGGAGTTGATTGTTCTCGTCGTATGGAAACAGAAAGTTCGTTGTTGTTGTTGGTCGTATGCTTCTTGCTAGTAGACAGACCAAGTTATAGCAATCCTTGAAGCTTTGATGTGACAATGGTATCTATCGGATGGCGTCAGGTTGAGACACATCCAAAGGCTTGTCGTCGGAGGGAAGAATTCCTTTCGTAATCTCTGCTTCTGCCTTTCAATGGAAGTGGAGTTCTTCTCTGGGGATTGTAGGAAGCCTGGTCTGCGAAGAAGATGTCGGCCAGGTGAAGACGCCTCCAGGCTTGGGTTGTCGACAACGCTGAGTCTGTGGCGGATGGAGAGGTAATGGCTTCAGCCAAGAAAACGAAGGTTGCCCAGAGCCCAAATTTAAGCTTACTTGGACGTAGAAGAGCTTCAAAGTCACTCTTTGATTAGTTTCATGTAGCAGATGTGGAGTGTCGATCTGTCGATGGCGTCCGCCGGAACTATATGTGCGCTCGTCCCAAAGGTGTGTACACACACGCGTGCACTAGCACCCACACACACACGCATGTACCCCCGTAGGGAGGCTCGGAATCCAAATAAGGACCCTGTCTAAGTCTAGCCAAGGGTATGTAGGTGTGGCAGGATCAAGCAACAGCCGCGGGCGTTTCTTGCCCCTTGCCCGAGAACAGATGTGTTTCTTTTTTGAATGAACGACTGCCGGACGGTCAGTAGTACCTGGGAGTCCGGCTGGAAGCTCGTCCCTGGCTGGCGCTTTGTATTGTGCTTGGCGGCTCCTTTGCTTCTGGGTTATGGTCGAATTTGGCTACCCCAGTGCGGGATGGCTGAAAGAGCGCGGGTTGTGAGAGTTCAATCCTTGTTCAACCTTCGATCCCCGAGGTTGGTGTGAAAGAGTGTAGAACGCGCCCACCATTGGACTTTCTTCTCGGCCTTCTTCAGAAGATCTCAATGTCACTGCGTGACCTGTTGTGTATGCCGCTGTTGTTGTATTGTTTTGTGACTGTGGAGTTATTGGCTTTCAGAGTCGCTAGTGAGATTCGTCGCAGACTGACAAACAAAGCTTGATAAGGGGACAAAATGCTGGCAGCTGAAAATACGGAGACTTGACAACTTCGAAAGTAGCTACAACGCTAATAGCGCCCTTCCCATGTGTTGAGGTACAATGTGCGGTTGGTAGTCCACCTCAGCACGAAGGCAGGCGCCACGGCAGACTGAAAAGGCTTCTTAACGCCGTTTCTTTGGGGGAAGCGGAGGGAATAACGGCAGCAGTAACCGTAACAGAAACTCTCAGCGTTTTGAAAAAAAGAGGCTAACGCTGATGACAAGAAAGGGCAGATGTTTTGTTATTGATATTCTGGCTGAATCGAGTTGATGATGGCCTCTCCTGCGACTCCAGAGATCTGAGGAGCAAAGACAGTCAGTCGGGATGTGGAACCAGGCTGGACTGTTTTCTGGTACGGAGTACCTACAGGGTGGAGGGCCCCTGGATACGGAAAGGTGGGAGTGGCGTTCAGGTCAAGCAAGCGCGTACTGCGTAAATCTGACCCGGTACATGGGATCGTGACCTCCTCCTCATCCTTTACACCGGGGGTGCAGTGCCAAACTCAGCTTTGGCGCGAATCCAAGTGCAGTGACGAAGCCCAGATCCGGCATACACTTCCTTTTTGTAAACTCTTATGACGAGACCGAGCTCAAGATTTCGGGCTATCGAGTTGTCCGCTCCCTTGGGGAAAAAAAGGAAAGTGATAGGTGTAGTATGAGCTTCGCAAGGGGGTTCGTCGTCGTGTAGGCGAAAGTGCGTCACAGGTCGTCGTCTTCTCACCAGTTCTGAGCTCTCAACATATGAAGTAGTGCTCGAGGTGAACCCCAGGAAATACAAGAGACTATAGCCAACTGGTTATCCTGAAGTTGAAAGACAAGCGACGAGGACCGAGGGAGGCCAGAACCCTGGTGCTTGGTCCACCTCCCACACTGGGAGTCAACACCACCCGGCCATGCACCAGGGCGCCGGGATGTATCCCCATACCCCCAAACCTGGGAAGCTCTAAAGAGGAACAAGGGTAGTATGGATTTCTTGTCGGTTCACGCCCATGTCTCGCCCTACATTAGTATGTATGTTGTATGGAGAATTTGGTGCACATTGCTTTGTGCCTGGAACAAATGTGTGGGCCGTTTCGCCCTCTCCTCTTCGATGCATCAGGGCTGAAATCCGGTTGACAAACCCGACAAGGTGCTAATCAACGGCCATCAGTCCAATAACCGCCATGGTGGTGCTAGGGAAAGCCACGCCAGAAACCGTTCAGCCCGGACTCTCCGTTTCTGCAAAGCTACAGTGTGCAGTCCCTGCCATACGGAGTACTGCCACAGACTCTGAAGCGTTCTCCAACAGATGTCAGCGAAGCATGATGTGCAGCAGGGTTAGATGTCAGTCCGTTATTGCTCAGCGCTGACATGTCTTCGCCAACATATGTGTACGATCAGCAGACGAATAAGACCTGATAGCCCCCGTGTTGACAGCGAGTAGTGACAAGAAGGAACTGCATCCGGCTCCAGCTAGTGGACACTGCGAACCAGCGGACCAGGCCCAACCGGACCCGAGCATACCAGGACAGATTCCGCTTTACTGCTAGACTACTGCGAGCGGAGCTTATAGTCGCGGTCCCAGAACGTGTAAAGAACTCGAGGCATGCTCCAGGTGTTGACATTCGACACGGGAGGTCCACAGAACGTTCCGTTTGGGCGGTTTACCATCCTGGAAGATGTACCCCTGCCAATCTAAACCCCAGCGCCTTGGACTGGAAACACTTTGCTTGATTTGGATCAAATTGCTTCCAGTAACGTGGAAGGCAGCTTTACATGCTTCCCATAACTCATCTTGGATCAATTGTAAAGCACCAGCGCTTGTGACACTGATCTATCCGGCACTACAGGCTTTGTCCACATTGTACGCTCCTGCCTGGCAGACGAAATGCTCAGTGAACAAGTCTGGTCCAGAGCCTGGGCAGAAGCTCATTTCAGCTTCTTCCCCAAGTTGTGTATGGCTTGAATCGCGTGGTCACCGTTGGACTTTGACCCAAGTCCAGGCTCCCCACGAGGCAAGTACTCAGTGGGAGACGCGCCATAAAGGCCAAGAGCCAAGGGGCTGATCTCAACGTAGGGCAAATACAGCAATGCCACTGAGTGGGCAGCTATTGCACGCCTACAGGCATGGATGGCGCTTCGTTGCGCCTCCCGTCCGCTTCTCGAATCAGGCGCTCGGGGTATGAAAATGGAGGTGTGATTCCGTCAGATTCACACTCTCTGCAGTGCTCACGCTTCATCAAGGTCACCGCCCGGTCGAATGAAAGGGTCGATTCCTCTTTTTGCACTGAAGGCAACGACGGACGATGAAGATCACGTCAGGTCATAGAAGCGACTGAGCAATAATCAAACGCAATGCCGAATGGTAATATGGGTAGGTTGGGGTATCTTGGTAAACAGTGCGCGTAGAAGTCTAGAGTGACTAGAACACAAGATACGGTAGTCCCCCATTCTCTCTGCAATAATGTCTGACACGGACAAGGAGACGGGACGAACGATAACATGGCTACCTGATTGAGAACGTACCAATGCTAGGGCAGGCGACCGACCTCATCTCGCAAAGGTGCATAGAAAGTATTCAGCTGAAGTGCGGGTTTGAGATTACAGGACACGTTCAGGGAGCAGAGAACTGGGTGACAAGGCCAGACAGTTGCCATTTTGACGGCTCGGAATCGCATCAAGGAGCACGCTTAAAAGCCTGTTTTGCTCTAGCCTCTTCCATCGCATCCGGTTGACGGGTGCGTTTGGTGCCACTAGTTTTTCTGCACGCTGCATGGGACTAGTTCCAAGGGAGGAGGGGTGGGTGATATCTTGAGCCAAGAGGAAGAAGCATCCCCGACTTGAGTCCATTGAAACGCAGAAAAAGCAAGAATTGCGTAGCCTTCTCGGCACCGACCCTTCTTGTCTTAGGGCACCTGCGCAAAATAGGGGAGATGATATGGTATTTTGCAATTTCCCTGCGACCGGACTGACAGACTCATCGTATCGTCCATCTCAGTATTGAGGAAAATTATGGAAAGGCTGAGTTAGGTCAGGTAATGAAGGCGATCGTTGACAAAAAGTGCCTGCGGGCTTGCTTCCACAATGCAGGGGCCATACAGAGTCCAGGGACGGACAAGCAGCCCCAAA